CCTATTTTACTTTTGTCTTTATGTGACAACTTGAGGGAGAAGGTCATGTTACAGAAGGTGTGCCAATAATTTTCAATTATTTCTAGCAATTATTTGCAATGCTGAATCAACATGTTCTTAGACACGATATGATTAGAATTAATTTTCCAAGAAGAGAGCAATGTATTTTATTATATTGAGAAGTTTGAAAACCTTCTGATTTTAGGACTTGAGGATGGGTTGCAACAATTCATTGTTTGCTTCACAGATTCCTTAACTACACCCACCCTGTTTATCGCCTATGAGACAGGTTCTCAAGGAGCTGGATATTGCCTACGATAGGATGAAATTATCCTAGTGATTCAGGATTCTTGGGAGGGATGGTGGAATGTGCTAGAGTGAAAGAGATTTCTTTCATTTATTTAGATTCAGCATTACTAAGATTAGGATACTCTATACATTATCATCATCATACTAATTATTAGGTTGAACCATACAACAGTGCCAATATCAGACCAATTTTGACCTACAGATAGAAATTGTATAACGTTCAACCTATATCTATATTTTTACTATTCTTGATTCCTCCTCTCTCAAACCTACATGTTTAGTCTCTATAAGTACATATTTTTAAAATGTACTTAAATTCTCTTAAGTCCTCTATAATTAAATCTCTCTCTAGTACTACCAGTCTTAACTCCTTCAAATAGATTTTCTAGGGTGCCTATCTAATCACATTGCTTCTTGCTGAAAACTTCCATAAGTTTTCGCTTTTGGATAAAGTCTAAATGTCTTACTGTTACTGGAGAGTGGGGATCCTCTCTCGGCATGTTGTCCAGATTCTTGATGTCTCGAACAAAGAATTGAGCAAGACACCGAAATACAGTAGAAAAGAAAAGTTTTATTAGAAGGGAAAGTACACTTCCAAATGTGGAAGCAGGCCTGAGCAAGAGAAGCGTGGCTCAAAAGGCCTGGTAACAAAGACTTTGTGGTTTTTATCCCTTTTTGCTGTGGGTGGTTACTTTGAGTGGGCTTCCTTAATTGACAAATAAGATTGACAGGACTCAGTGATTCATCATTTTGCTTTCTGCACATGTTCATTTCCAGAATTCAATCTGTTATAATGATATTAATGAACTTCCAGGCATATGCAACATCTTGTAATGATGGTATAATGAGGCTCAGGTGAGTTGAAGGTCGTTGGAGTCTTCACTGAGCAGGTGCAAGTGACTGGCTTAAACCGGTACCTAAATCTCTGCCTACTGGTTTCTTTGTGTGAGTTTTAAAAAATGCCTTCTGGCTTGCTTAATTGTGGGTGGATTAGGGTGGACCCCTTCTAGGATAGGATAACCTGTGTCTTTGCAGGCAGACCCAAAACCCCCTAACTAACTTTCCTGCCTAGCTCTTTTCTAAGAGCCGTGAACCCCCTTACTATTAGTATGGATGGAATGGCCATAGTCCCTGCCTACAGGGGTTTCATGGAGCTCTTTCTCTTTCTGCCTCAGTCAGAGTGGGGTCTTGGGTTTCCTGCTAAAGTGCCACCTCAGACCCTAGACAAGAAAAGAAGATACAAACTTGTTATTTAAATCATATATCTATTAATTGCTATTATTGATTTTCCTACTAAGTGAGTAAAGGAAAACAGGCTTGGTTAATATATTTCTTAAAGAGTAAAAAAAAAAATCCTTTGGCTAAAGTTCCCTCCCCGCTCAGACTCTAAGGGCCGTGTCTGGCCTAACACCATTTCTGCTTAACAATGGGCAGATGACCCTTCTCAATAGCCAGAAGATCTGAGTCGCCCAGGCAATTATGAGGATTTGAAGGAGAGGGCCTTTTTCCATAGGAAGGAGGGAAGAAAACTTAACTAAGTTTACTAAAAAGATTAACTCTGCAAGAGATGTCCCATTTCATTTCCTACTAAAAGATTAAGAATTTTACAAGTGATGTCTTGTCTCTTTAACATGAACAATTATTACTTCTGACCTCAAACCAGCTTATCTTTTCTCTCATCTCCCCATCCTCACATCTCAGTATAATTTTACGCTGTTTGGTAATTACTGATTGATTTGTATGTCTCCATTTTTAGGTTTAGCCAACCCTGGATCCTCCAGCTTTAGGATATAACATAGAGAAGAAACAATTTAAAATCAATATGTTCATTCAATGGTCATCAAGTATTAACTAAGCGCCTACCAGGGGCCATTGGGTGTTGGGACCATGTAGTCAAACAAGGAGCCCTCAGGCTAGTGGGAAATAGATATATAACCTAAAAATTGCAATTGACTGTGATAAGTACAAAAAAAGGTATATACAAGGTAAAGTGGAGGTCCACAGGTGGGAAGTGTTAAGGGTGGAAAATTTTCAAGTGAGCCAACTAGCTAAGTCAGCTACAGGGAAGAAATATCTTTAGATACCAGGAGTCGTCCTACTTGCTTGGGTGTGGTTTAGGAGGTGTATTGTATAAGATATGAAGATGGCCAATGTCTGCTTCTGTAATCCACTTACTTGTTAACCAGGGTATGGTACTAGGTGATGTATCGTACTAATGCCCAACTTCTGCTTCTGTAATCTGCTTGCTTGTTCTAGGCTTCATAACTGCCTCACTCTCAAACCCCAGGGCTGATCTCTAACCCTGCGTGGTAGAGAGTCAGTCCCCAGCCAGCTAATAAAGGCTCATAATTAATCTCAATTGGCTCCGTGGGTCTTAGAATCGTTCGTGCCATAACAGGAGGGACCTATTTTGCCTTGGGAAAAGGGAATGAGGGAAGACAGAGAGTAAGAGAGACAGAGACAGAGAGACACACAGAGAGAGACACACACAAAGAGAGAGACACAGAGAGAGAGGCAGAGAGAGAGAGAGAGACAGAGACAGAGACGGAAAGAGAGAGATTAGGGCGAGGCAGGAAAAGTCTTTTAGTGGAAGTGAGCTGAATTAGTGTCAGCACAGCGAATGAAATGGGCTCTATTCAACAGATTTTAAAATAATAAAGATTTTGATATAGAAAAAAGAAAAACTTTATTATTCAAGTAAAATTTGGATTGCATATGAATAACTAAGTTTAATCTTTCCAGGTAACTTGAAACAAAGCAATTGGGTTCTTCTTGGCTAACGAAAAGGAATTGACTGGCATGGGTACAACTTAGATTTTCTGAAAGTAATGTAGCGGGGAGGCAAGAGAATTAAAAATGTTAATCAAGCTGCATTCAGAGACTGCAATGCGCTGATCAGCCCTGCAGCCAGGCCTTGGAGGACACCTTCAGAACAAAGAAAGATTTCTGATGGATGACTAACAACCCATTCTCCACACCTGTGAAGGGGAACCAGGAACTGAGAGTCATTCCCTATGCCTAACACCATGGGGTACCTAAGGATTAAAGGATTAAAGGGAACTGCCAGCAGGCCTTTCACGCTACATATTCTTACCTTTTCAGGCTACATACTCTTCCCCTTCCTCACTGTATGTCCATATCAAAGGAAATGGGAACTAAAGAATGGCATATAAACTGAATTCTCTGAACACTTAGGGTCCCTTTCAGTGCTTTTACTGTCACTGTCCCTCTCACTCTCTGCCTCTGAGAGGAAACCACACTCTGTGGAGTATAACCACTTTTCTAATAAACTTTTCTTTGACTCTAACTTTGGTGTGTGTGTCGAATTCTTTCTACACTCACCGCCAAAGGACATTCTTCTCTCAGTACAGGGCTTGGTCTCCCTGCCACTCGGGGAAATTTGCCCTGTCTTGCATCAAAAGTATTGATTTCAAGTATTCTTGTCAGACCATATTTCTCAATTTTACTTTAATCAGTTATGGATGATCATGAGAAATTGTTTACTTAGCATCAATGATGGAAAAACAGGCATGACCTCAAGAGATAATTTAGATTAGATATTCATACATATTTTCAACATATATCAAGCATTACAATGAAAAGTTACGGTCTTCATTTTTGAGGAAATTTAGGAAGATATTAAAAGATGTTAAGAGTGCCCTGATCCGAAAAGTAGAAGAGCAAAGAATCATAATGACACTGAATCAACTGGGAAATGATTTTATACATTATCTCATGTATAAAATTTTATAAAATATTTTATAAAATATAAAATATTTCTCATTAACAGATATGTAAACTGAAATTCAGACAGATGAAATAATATGCCAAAGTCATTTTGTAAACTATAGAATCTTGGGATTCAAATATAGGACTTCAGAGTCTTAGATATTATGAGCAGGAAAAAAGTTGAAAAGGAATATATTATAATCTCTACCATCTTGATAGTTTTCAAAGCGTGAAACATGATTCATCTCAAGTGTTTTTGATTTAATCTTGCCTGGAAGTATAGTCCTGACAGACTGATTAGTCCTTGTTTTAGAATGTCTTCCAGTGTCATTAGGGAGAAAAGGCTAAGGACCATGAAACAGAAGGCAACATCAGACTCTCTCACTTACCAAAGAAAAATCTGCTATTGGAAGTCAGAGAAGGGAGGGATTGATGTGGTCTGGAGTAGTGCAGGAATGAAGAACTGCGGCCCACGCTTTAATGACGAGTGGAGGGAAAGAAAGATGGTCATTGTTGGAAAAAAAATGGTGGGAATAGCAAAAGCAAGGAAGGAACAGCAGGAGTGAGCCCACTGGGTCTAGGATTGGGGAGAATCCTGATTAAGGAAAATTGGAATTAAAGGAGAAGGCAAAACAACCTCCTGGAATTCGCTTTGAGTTCTGTAATTCAGTGATCTCTTCTGTCTTAATTACTATTTACCTTCCTTCTGGAAGGGAGCCAGAAAGAAAGAGCCACATATTTTACCCAACAACGATAACCAGTAACCTCCCAAGAAGTACTTCTTAAAGTGTCGAGGTAATTAATCCATCCTACAATTAAACAGTCTTCAGATGGGAGGAAATGCAATGCCACCAGAGAAATTCCAAGGGAGTTTCAGCCCTAACCTATGGGAGCTCACTTCCTTCGTGTGACACATATATAAATAACTGGAAGCCTCTTAGCTTTGAAACAGACTCCTAGGAGACCAGAGACGACAGCCCTTTCTGAGCTCAGGTAAGAGAACTCCCTCTATCTACACTATTCACACACTTCTAGGGATCAGCCCAGTTCTCCCAATCATTTACCTAGGTGTGTTGGGGGCCCTATCTAGAGGATCCCCTTCCATTAGGACAAAATGTTTGAGAGGGTAGGGAATTGTCACTTTTATCTTTGTATTCCAATACCTAGCATTATATTCAAGACAGTGGGTCCTCAATAAATGCTGATCGAATTGTTGAATTTATCATATATTTACTATATACCTACTACATTCAAGGCAACTAATAGCATTCTCTATTTAAAATGAATTGATCATCCACTATGTGCTAGGTGTATAAATTATGCATTATTTTTTTTAAATCTCAAAACACGTTTCTGGGGGTGTTTAATTATCACCATTTTAGGGCTAAGAAAACAAAACTCAGAGGTGAGTCAACTTGTCTAAGGCCAGATAGATGCAGGGTGACTGACTCATCTAGGTTTACCTGTAAGTTTTCTAGTTTTAAAACTGAAAGTTCTCAGTCTCAGGAACTCTGTCAATTCTGGGCAAACTGGGACAACTTACCTTGATGGGAACTTGTAGAGCAGGGATTTGGACATAGTTCTCTTGTTTCCAAACCCAGAGTTCTCTCTGATACTTTGGTGTTTGTTTGTTTATTCTTTTCTTCTACATTTGGCAGTATCTCAGGTGGACATGAATATAAAATATATCTAGCACATTGCCTGGCACATAGGAAAAATTCAGGAAGTGGTAATGATTATCAATGCTGTGCCCAGCCATAGTAGAGCCTAAGACAAAGAGAAAGTTGTAGTGGGGAAGGAGGGAGGTAGATAGGGGTAAAAGGAGTCAAATATTTGGGGACAGAAGGAAATCTAACTCTGGGTGGTGAACACACAATGCAATATATATATGACTTTCTGTCGAAACTTATTTGATTTTGCTAATGTCATTTATTATAATTTTACTTTCTTGGTGAAGACCCATCACTAATATTTTCATCATGTATTCCGGGGAAAAATTAATCACTAAAAGTACATAAAAACATTTACTGTATATAAGGAGACAGGAATACTCATTTCTCCTTTTGTCCAATATGGCTCCGCATGGCATTGTCAATTTCTGTCTTTATTAAAATATTGATATTTTGTTTATTGTGGACTATTTCAATAATTTTGATATTATATTAAAATATTATTTGTCTTAATTACTGAGACTTTTGGTGCCCCCTTAAATTTTATGCTCAAGATGAGTGTTTCATTCTCTTCATCTTAATCCTGGCCCATTATCACTTTATCTTAAAATTCAGCACACACTATAAAATGCCACCTTATGGAGCAAGCCTCACCCCAAGAAGAAGTGAATTTCCTCCTGCTTTTCTTCTTTTTCTTTGGGATCACTTACTTACTAGACCTTCAGCCTGAGTTATAGGGCCAGGAAAGAGCATACTTCTGGATTCATCCCAGGTATGCCTGACTACAGTTTTCCTGCAGAGGGTGCTGTGGAGTGTAGACACCACAGGAGGTGAAGTATTAGGTGAAATTGAACTGATTGCCTATCTCATCTTGCCTTTCTCTGGCAGCAGGATTATTATGAAATCATTGACTTTCTATTTGCCTTTGGGGCTAAAATAAATCTGTCACCTCCAAATGACTTATCTGATCTCAGACAAATGCCAAAGAGAGCTAAGCAATTCTGCCCTGGGGGTGGCCATAAAATGCAGACAATTTTGCCCAAGCGTTTTGGGTGGCTCAGCAACAGTTTCTGTGAGTTCTGTTTTGCCCCAGATCCTGGGCGGGTCTAAAGGGATCAGAAGGGTGAGCTATTTGGCTTTCTGGAAGGGAAGACTATATACGTCAATTCAGCAAAACAAGTTTTGACACTTTCCCTGGGATGTCATCTACTTACTTCAAGTGCCTGCTGCTCCAGGCCTTCCCTGCTGGGCAATGATGATGGGGCTGGGATGGGGACAGAATAAAGGAGCCGGGACCTGTAGCACCAACTACACTCAGACCCGGAGCAAGCACTTGAAGTTTACTCTTGAGGAGGATCAGCAGTTCTTCTTACAATTAGGTGAATGAACCAGGCTGTCCAAAACCAGACAAAGCTATTAAATTTTACCCTACAGGACATCTGGAGGAGGCATGTCCTTGGTGACTGGACTGGCTTCTTAAGGCATGAGATGGAAAAATCAGTAAGTCATGCTCTTTCCTTTGAATTCCTAGCTCCTGTGGTCTCCAGATTCTGGCACAAGATGAAAGGCTCTGGTCTCCCCCTCTGCATTCTCGTGGCTGTGTTTTATCTCTCCTGGACACCTTCTGCTGGGCTGAAGATACTCCATTTGGGAAGCTGTGTGGTCACCACTAACCTTCAGGAAATGCACAATGGATTTTCTGAGATACGGGACACTGTGGTATGTGAGGAAGGCACCCCCCGCAACCTTGTGGCTGCCTCTCCCCTTCTCTACTTGTCATTCTCTGTCCTCCAGCAGTGTGATCACAAAAAGTCAGGCTGGGGACTCCTCACCAGAAAGGTGCCAGGAAACATGTAGCTCATAATTTAAAAGTGTTTTGGAAAGAGACACTGCCCCCTGGGCAGTGGTAGCGAGGGAATGAGAGGTCTAGATGTTTAAGACTCTGGCAGCCATTACTGATCTGTTCTTTTTTGCCTTGCTTTCTTCTGTTTAGCAAGCCAAAGATAAAATCATTGACATCAGAATCTTGAGGAAGACCGAGTCTTTGCAAGACACAAAGGTATGTGTGTGGTGCATGGGAGTTCTGGGAGGAAATATGAATTAGGGGCATCTCTATCACCCTGGGTCTTTTCCCTCTCCCCCCACCAACATACTAGTCTTCTTTGTAGCCTGCAGATCAGTGCTGCCTCCTCCGCCATATACTGAGACTCTACCTGAACACAGTATTCAAAAACTATCAGACCCCTGACCACCATATCCTCCGGAAGATCAGCAGCCTTGCCAACTCTTTTCTTACTATCAAGAAGGACCTCCGACTTTGTGTGAGTAAGGGTCTTGGGTAAAAAGATCCATCTCAGTCCATAGCTTCGATGACTTAGCAACCAAGCTCTTTCTTACCCCCATTTAATGGATGGAGAGACTGAGTCCAAAAGTTCTATAATCTGTGTTGAGCCATGTGACTAGGGAAAAAGAACTCAGTTTTATTGACTTTTGGGTATTCTGTTCCATACAAAAAGTTTAAAGAACTATAAATACTAGCTATTTGATGTTAATGACGACTACCTTTTATCCATGAAATTAAGCTTTTTCTGTAGGTGAGATATCCTATAGTGTACTAGTGCACCCTGAGTCCAGGAAGCCAACTAAGAAGCCAATTAGCAAGCCATTAAACTCAATCTCAAGATATGGTCTAAATTGAACCTAGGAATCCAATTTTCACTTCCCATGGGGGCTCTCTGGAAGAGCTTGGTGGGGAGTGCAGGCAAGATGGCATACCATGAACACAAACTCTTTTGGTGCTATCTGTTTCTAAAAGGAAGCAACAAGCTCTGTATTTGAGCCTAAAAAGCTGGCTTCCTCTCCTATGGGTGATTGGGTTAGTGATCCCAAATGATGTCTGAAAAGACTTTTCTATAGGAATGAAGTAGAATTCCCATCTACTTCATGTCAATGGCAAGGGCAGAAAATCAGAATATTTAATAAAATCTGTCATTCTTTGGTATTCTTTCAGCATGCCCATATGACATGCCCTTGTGGAGAGGAAGCAAAGGAGAAATACAGCCAAATTCTGAGTCACTTCGAAGAGGTATATGCAATTTTGGACTTGGTTGGGATGAGTGTGTTTTTAGAACTGAGATCATAGATGGGTGAGATGGGTATTCATACTGATAGAAATCCTGTAGCCCTCAGGTTAGTAGCCCTCTGAAGTCATGTGGACTATCCTTCTCCTTTACCCCAAGGGACACCCATCCAGGCTCTAGCAGGGTGCTCTCTCAGAAACATGCTCTGGGAATGAAGAAGGAATGGCTGTGATTCCATCAAGGTGCTCCAGAGACATATGGATCTTTCAGCTGCACAAACAAGAGGCCATAGTTTCCAACACTCACACACTTACACATACTCTCAGAAACAGTCCTTTGTAGTTTTCAGAAGCCGGCAGGTTTGGCTAACTTTCTGTTCTCTTTCTTGCTAACTCTTTACTGCAGTTTTTCAGGTTTTCCTGCTTTGAACATTGAATTTTTTTTTTAAGTCCAGTATGTATGTTGGCTCCATCTCAGCTCCCGGGTTCTACACAGTTCCCAAATTGCTTTTCTGTAATAGTCCAACAGTAAAATAAATATTACAGGGAAAAAAGTCACTCACAATTTCACAATGCCCATGCCATGCTGTTTCTCACCTCAGTGCCTTTGTGCATCTGCCAGCAAGGCCTGGAGTCTACTCCTCACTGACTAATTGCTACTTATCCTTTAAGACTCAGCCTAGCTATCACCTCCGGGAAGGTACTGCTACTTCTCTGAATTAGGTGCCTCCCCTGTCATCCTGTGTGGCTCCATCATTTATTCATCACACTACATTTTAATTGCCTGCTTCTGCCTGTCTCACTCATGGGACTGTGAATTCCCTGTGGGTAGGGTTATACCGTTTTTACCTTTGGATCCCTAGCCAGCCCAATGCTTAGCACAATAAATATTTGTTCAATTGAGTATACACAGTAGGAATTAGGTGCCTCCCCTGTCATCCTGTGTGGCTCCATCATTTATTCATCACACTACATTTTAATTGCCTGCTTCTGCCTGTCTCACTCATGGGACTGTGAATTCCCTGTGGGTAGGGTTATACCGTTTTTACCTTTGGATCCCTAGCCAGCCCAATGCTTAGCACAATAAATATTTGTTCAATTGAGTATGCATAGTAGGCAACCCCTACACACACACACACATTTCTTTAAAAACAGCTTCATTATCTAGATCTTTGTGATTCAAGAGGCTTGGGTTGTAGTCCCAATTCTGCTACCTACCCTGGGCCTCAGTTTCCCTATGTAAGATCAGGGTGATGGACTCAATGATTTTCCTTCCTCTTGTGATATCTTGAGGTTCCAGGTCTTCTTTCAAAGCTCTTCCATCTTGAAAGGAAGGCTCTGCTTACAATCCTCAACGATTTTGCCAACGAAAGGAGAGGATTAACCCTGGGGCACACAATGCCTCTCTGTGATTTACTCACCTCATAAGTGTGTGTCTTTCAGCTCGAGCCTCAGGAAGCGGTGGTGAAAGCTTTGGGAGAGCTAGACATTCTCCTGCGATGGATGGAGGAGACAGAATAAAAGGAAAGTGACTATGCTGCTGAGAGTATTCCTGGCCGAGTCCCAGTTCTCCGTTCGTGGAGGCATGACCGCAAACCACTATCTCTTTGTTATATCATTTAGTGCTGGTCACTGTGTATATTATTTATTTCCTATTTGTGTCTTTATTGTGGTTGTTTTCATGTGTTCTTACCCTTAATCTAGACCATGGTTTTATAAGATTTTGGTAATATCTTTTCTACAGTCGGATATATTTATTAGTTAATATATTTATTTATTTTTGCTATTTGACCTATTTATTTTTGTACTTGAACATAAGTCTTTTAAAAAATTGATGAATTATATTTGTAAACTGACTAGAGCACATCATGTATTTTCAAACAATAAACAAACTTTCTAAATTCTAGAGGACGGCTAGGGGGTGTTTCTTCATTTTTATCAAATTAAGTAAATTTACTGACTGTCAGTGCTCTGCGAGATTTTTAAAACTGAAACAATGGCTACTAATTGTGGGTTGTGGAATAAGTTCTGATACGAACTTACAAACAAACTAGTTTTATAATTACTGACAACCCCTACCCAACTCCCCAACCCTATACTAGTGTATCTTCCAGCTATGGAATCCTGTATGGTCAAAATGCATTTGTACAAAGTTTTCTTTGCATAATATCTACTTGCAATTTGCGAAATGCTTCAGAAGCAGAAACTAATGATGGAGATGAGTTTGAATCTCATATTACCTATGCACTTCTTGCTCCTTTGGGGAGGAAAAATGCAAATGGGAACCTGGGCCTTCTCTCTCTTGCCGAATACCTTTCCGGCTCTACCTTTTAGATCATTCAAATTTCTGATCTCATGACTCTGCCCTCCACTTAAAGGAACTGTGTCTCCATGAGAGGCTTCAGCCATCCCTGATTTCACCTTATTGGCTTTGAACAATGTCCTCTCTGTACCACGGTTTTCTTTCTCATTTTAAGTTCGCTTACTCTTGCGTCAGAGTTCTTGATTGTAACATAAATTAACTATGGGCAGGAGTCCCTGTTAGAAGGGTTGAGAACACGCAGGTGCAAAGTGTAGTTTCTGAGCCTTGCCCAGGGAGATATGTGAGCCTTCTTGGATTCTGTCCAGTCCCAGGATTTAAATTATTCCTGGATCAAGTCTTTGTCTTCAGATCCAACCATTAAGTCATTGTTTTCTTCCCAGGCTCCTTTCATGTTGTGCTTCCCTGGACTATAAGGAACCAGAATCCTGGCCTGGGCTGCCTGCCTCCTTTCTCCCCACTTCACTCTGAACTGCAGCCCTAGCTTAGCAGTTTAGTTTTCCCAGTCTCAGAAACAGCAGACTGATGCTGACGCCCTGGCTCCTATAGAGAGTTCTTACTGCCTCTGGTTTTTGCTCCCAGCCCTCAGCCTGGGTCCTGGTTTGTTTAAATTACCTTATTGATTTTTTTCATTATACAAATAATGACTACCTAATAGAGAAAGTTTGGGAAATATAAAGAAGAAAATTAAAATCACCCATAATCCCTCTACCTATAGATAATCAATCAAATATTAAGTTGTCTTTTTTTAAAATATATCTTTTCTTGAATTTAAATCATGACTCTACCCTTTATTACTTGAGTGATTTGAGCTATAAAACTTAACTTTCTTGGAATTTAGTTTCTCCTTCTGGAAAACAGAATGCTAATATCTACCTTTCAGGGTGATGGAAGAGATGGTCTTCTACGTTCCTCTGAAAACGAGGCATTTTCTGATTTCATGCTTTCTATTACCATCACCCATTTTTACACTATAATACCCCTCTTTTATCGGATTTTCCAGTCATATGTCTCCTGGTTTTCTCTGACTAGCCTGACAAAAATCTTAGCTTCAACTCTCAAGGAAGAGTTGAGAAGTCAACTTCACTGAACTCAGTGTTAAAATTAGAGCCACCTCCTTCAAGAAACATTAGATGGCAATGAGGAGGCTGCTTTACTTGCCAATGGCGTGAGTCTTCCAGATGGGTGTATCTGAGGTTGACTCACAGAGCTGAGGACGAAGCTCCTCCATTTGTTTTCCTGGGAGGCATTTCCGCCTCTTCTGAAAGTCTGGGCCATGGAAGCCTTGGTCCTTTGGGACTCCATGCTACCATTGTATTGTCACATCTTTACTTCTTGTTTATCTCTTTGACTTTGTTACCTCTATTCTTCACCCCTGAGAGATCCATCTCTTTCTCCAAGTCTTTTGTCTTTTTTCTGCTTGACTAACCGTAGTATCAATGACAGGGAATTCAGCAGTGGAGAGGTCAAGCCAGCTCAAGGGTTAAGGAAAAATTGCATGAAGGTGGGGCCATTAAGGGACAGATCTTCAAGAATGATTTACAACTACCACTCCCAATTACAATAATTATAATGATTGTTGTTGTTTATTAAGTACTTATCATGTGCCAGGCACTGTACTGGGAACTTCTTAAAACATGCGAGGTAGCAGTGTTATTACCAGTTTGCAAGTGACAATGTACTCAGAGATGGTAAGTAATTTGAACAAGGGTAGAACCAAAAGTTGAATGCACCCTGACACCACAGCCCTATATGCCAACTGTGACATTAACTATTAACTTCCTGGGGCAATCTCTGCAACATCCGTGTTGAACTTCACTTTTTCTTCATTGGTCTAAACCTTGTCTCTTCAACCAGCAGAATGTAAATTCCTTTGGAGGTGACAAGATAAATATATTAACCCTCAGATACCTATCAGCTCTGGTTACTCCTTAGCTGTTAGACTTTGGATGAGCCACTCTACCTCTCTGGACTTCGATTTCTGCTGAGAGATTAAATATACAAATGAACAATAGCTAGACCATATAAATAAATAGAACTCTGATCCACAATCTGCAACCACCAGCTTAGGAAACCAACACATGATCAATAACAACCAGCCAGGAAACCAAGCCACAACCTTGGAAGGAATTGGCCCCAAATGGCTGGGACTTGATTAACAACTGACAGCTTCCCTAATTTTTGTTCCCATTTCCAACTTAGCAAGAAACAGAGGAAATTAATATGCACTGCTAACCGATCACATAGGATGCCCCCAATTCTAGTTAGCCCACAGACAGCTTCCCCATGCTAATAGCTTCCAGTCGGGGCATATCTGAAGAGTTCCTTTTTTTTTCTATTGTAGAACTTTCCCACTCCTGCAGGCCTTAGAGTCTCTGCAAAAACACTTATTATTTTTTTTTTTTAAAGCAAGCTCTGAGTAAATAGCTTTTGCCTAACCTCATTTGAGTGGTCTTTATTTATTCCACACTGCATTTGTAAAATGAAAGAGTGGAAAAGATGATTCTGAATTTCAGAAATTGGATGTGCTACCATTGTCTCCAGGGACCTGATGGAGCTGCTGCCGCCTTCTATTGCTAGAAGAGGTTTACATGGTTCCTATCACCAGCTTTGGATTCAGATTATGAGGTGAGCATATCTGATTGAGCAGGCCTAGATGATGCCCTGGATGCCAGGGAGAGGAACAAGCCTTACCTCTGATGGGAGGTGGACTCATTCTCAGAAGGAAGGGCATCTTTCAAAACTAGGAATGTATGGTGACTCAAAAGAATAAAAAGTCTGCTATATCTCTTATTTCCACCATGACTTGGGGTTGCTCAAATTCCCTATTTTCAAGGATACAGGTCTTCTCCAAGATAGTCCTGTGTGACTTTGTCTGCCTGTCCCTCTCTCACACGAATGGAGAGTGTGGGACCCTTGCTGGACCCTTAAGTTCCTGGAAGACAGGGCTGTGTCATTTCAACTTTTAAGTCTACCCTATCTCAGCAGAGAATAACCTTAGATTATTGAATATAAGGTCTAAATTCAAAAGGGAGAGCATGTAATGTTAGAGAATTTTTCTTTAAAAGAAAAAATTTTTAATTAAATTATTAGGGTGACATTGGTTAATAAAATCATATAAGTTGCAAGTGTATAATTCAATAACACATCATATATATATTGCATTGTGTGTTCACCATCTAACATTAAATTTCCTTCCGTCACCATGTATGTGACCCCCTTTACCCCTACCTCCCATCCCCTCTACCCCCTTCCTTCTGGTAGCCACTAATCTGCCTGTGTTCATGAGTCTCTATTTGTTTGTCATGTTTGTTTGTTATTTTCAGTTTTATATCCCACATATAAGTGAAATCATGGTTCTCAACTTTTTCTTTCTGACTTATTTAACTTAGCATGATAATCTCAAAATCCATCTATGTTGTCACAAATGGCAGTATTTCTTCTTTCTTATGGCTGAGTAATATTCCATTGTATATATGTACCACATCTTCTTTATCAAAGGACACTTAGGCTGTTTCCACGTCTTGGCCACCATGAATAATACTGCTATGAACACTGGGGTGAACATATCTTTGCAGGTAAATGTTTCCGAGTTTTTTGAGTAGATACCCGGAAGGATTGCTGGGTCACATGGTGGATTTTATTCTTAATTTTTTTGAGGAAGCTCCATACTGTTTTCCAGAGTGGCTGTACCAATTTAAATTCCCATCAGCAGTGGAAGATTTTTAAAAAGTTAAATGAAATCTCGGAAGCTAGGCAGAGTCGGGCCTGGTTAGTACTTGGATGGGAGACCATTTAGGAATACCAAGTGCCATAGGCGTTAAAAAAAAAAAGTTAAATGAAATTGCTTTTTCTATATATGTGGCCCTGAGCTAATTTTTTCACAAGTTATAAGCTTTGGCTTTTGCTAGAAAACGGACAACTCACTCTGCAAATTGGGCCTTGCCAACAGGAGGCAGCAGAACAAATGGTAAAAGAACAAGTGAATCCACTATTCCCTGATTTCACTGGAAGGTTGGGAGGAGAAAAGGTGACCCTCCACTTCAACCCAATTGTCATGAGCACAATGAGTCAATTGCTTAACTAAAAGAGGATAGGACTCAGAGGCCTGAAGGCAGGAAGCTGTAGATTACAATGAGCGTGCTAACATCTTTGGAGCTCATTCTTTGTCTCTCTGAATATTAGATGTGGGGAAGAAAATACAACATACAGATCATTTTACAGAACAACTGGGGTTCAGAGAGATAAAGTGACTTGCCAAAGGCCACACAGTGAGTTAGGAGAGTTGGCATTAAAACTCAGGTCCTGGTACTTCCAGGACTATTAAACCTCAATTCAGTTCAAGAAGAAATGAATGTCATCCAGATTAAAAAAAAAAGAAGTAAAACTATCTTTATTCATAGATCACAAACTTGTCTAGATAGAAATACCTGATAGAATCTACAG